AAAGAAAGTGCAAGAAAGAAGAGGAGGTGCTAGGCTCTTCTCAAAAACCAGTTTTTGCAGGAACTAAGTGAGAACACTCACTCCCACAAGAATGGCACCAAGCCATTCATGAGAATCCATTCCCATGACCTAAACACCTCCCACCAGCCCCCACCAATACTGGAAATCAAATTTTATCCTGAGACTTGGTGAGGTCAAATAAACCACATCAAACCATAGCAGAGGGCATTGAAAATTATTCAAAGGAACATGTACCTCCTTCTGTGGTTAGTAGAAAATCACAGAAGAATTTTAAACAAACAGTTAAGTGATGGCATTTACATCTTAAAATACTACTTTGGAGGTAATATGGGGTATGGTTGGAGAAGTGGAGAGGCTTGAGCAAGAAAAAGCAGTTAACTGGCCATTGTCACAGCTCAGGTCAAAAAAATGAGAGCCTGCTAGCCACAGGGGCCCACGTCTGTAATCCCAGAACTTTGGACAGCTGAGGTGGGAGGATCGCTTGTGCCCTGAAGTTTGAGACCAGCCTGAGCCACATGGCAAGACTCATCTCTATGAAAAACAGAAAGGCAAAATCACAGCCATGAGTGAGGGTGTGCAACTATAGTTCCAGCTCCTTGGGAGGCTGTGGTGAGAGGATGGCTTGAGCCCAGAAGTTCAAAGCTGCAGTGAGCTGTTATCACACCACTGCACTGCAGACTGAGTGACAGAGTGAGACCCTGTCTCGAAAGGGAAAGAGAAAAGGGAAAGGGAAAGGAAAAAAAAAAAGGAAGAGAAATTAAAAGAAAAGAGGGAAAAAATCTGATACATATTTGGGAGGTGTTTCAGAATCTATGCCTGTATGTCTGCTTGATGAGGGAAAAGAAATGTCTAGAATAGGGCTTTTCAAACCATCTTGGTAGAGTCCCATTTTTAGAATTTCTAACCCATTGTGGGCCAATACTTCTGTAAAGCAAAGGGAGGAATAATCATGTGCTTGGATATTTCTGAAAAGTCAAGTTGCTTCAAAAGTTTCATTTATGTTCAATTTCTGTACTTAATCTTGTTACAGTAATCTGTGGTCAAGCATTCATTTTCAGAGCACATTTTCAGTAGCACTATTCTAGGAGGACTGCAGGGTTTCTGATTGATAACCAGATGAATGGAGATGACTTTAGCCAAGTTAAGGAGCAAACAAGTGGATTTGAGGGTTGAAGGTGAGTTCCACTGTGGACATGTTATTCTCGAAGTCCCAGAGGAATGCAGAGAAATCCACAAAGCTTCTGGCAATTTAGCTTGTGTGAATTACATTTGTAGAGGATTCTTCACATGGGGTAGGTATTCGATGCTTCTTAAATGCATAAATGGGAAACCAGTTTCCCACCGATTGTCTGCCAGGTATATATACTATGCCTATTAGAAGAAGCAATGGCAAAACCTTGGAATACATAAAATATCCTCTCGTTGCTCAAAAATTTTACCACAATCAGAAAATCTTAATAAGACTTTTAAAACAGTGCATGACACGAAAACTTGACTTTTGCCCACAGACACAAAAATGATAAAAGGAAGCCATTTTCTCTCTCTACTCCATTATTCATCTTGCATGTATTCGTACCTCATGGATCTGGTATGACATGAGTTCACTGGCTTTAAGTTTACTGAGAAATCACAGGGACTGGCCAGGCTATTTTGGTCTGAAGCATAAATCTCAGTCCTCACAACTCAAGTGCAAAAAACGTAACATTTTCTATGTGTCATAGTAAGTTTTAGTTGTAATCTCTATTCAACCATGATCTTGTTTAGATTTTTGCCCCCTCCAAATCTCATGCTACAATCTGATCCCCAATGTTAGAGGTGGGGCCTAACAAAAGGCAGCTGGGTCATAGCTGTGGATCCCTCATAAATGTCTTGGTATGTGTGTCTTCATGGTAATGAGTGAGTTCTTGCTGTATTAGTTACTGCAAGATTTGATTGTTAAAAATAGCCTGGGCCAGGCTCGGTGGTTCATGCCTGTAATCCCAGCACTTTGGGAGGCAGAGGTGGGTGGATCACGAGGTCAAGAGATTTAAACCAACCTGGTTAACATGATGAAACCCTGTCTCTACTAATAATACAAAAAAAAAAAATAGCCAGGTGTGGTGGCACATGCCTGTAGTCCCAGATACTCAGGAGGCTGAGGCAGGAGAATCGCGTGAACCCAGGAGGTAGAGGCTGCAGTGAGCTGAGATCGCACCACTTCACTCCAGCCTGGGCAACAAAGTGAGACACTGTCTCAAAAAAAAAAGAGGCTGCCACCTCCTCTCTCCCTCACCAGGTGACATGCCAACTTCTTTTTGCTTCCACCATGATGAGTATCTTAACGCTTTCACTAGAAGAAGCTATGGGTTTCATGCTTCTTGTACAGCCTGAAGATCTGTGAGTCAAATAAATATCTTTTCTGTATAAATTACGCAGTCTCAGGTATTACTTAACATCAATGCAAATGGACTAAGACACATCAGAAGAGGAAAATTAATCAGCCTTTCACCCAAAGCTACATCTTAATAACAGACGGCTTACAGAGTGCTACCATGGTGTGAGTGGTCTGGTTGTGGGTAAACAAATGTCCACACTGCCCTTCACTCAGTTTTCCCAATCACTCTCATTCCTCAGGTCCCAATCAACCATCCCTATTGCTCACTGCTGTGATGCCCCATCCTCACCCCTCCCCCCCACCCCGCCCAGAGAGCTCAGCTTGAGCTCTCTCTTGGCCAGTTCTGAGCCCTCTTCCAGGTCTCTCCAGGGATAGGAAACTCTATGGAACTAAGACCTTCCACTATCATAGTGCTACTTTTAGTGCTCAAACAATCAATGTAGGACTTTCCACACCATTCTATGGAACAATTCTTTCAACAATCTATAGCAGCAAGTATCTTTCAAGAACCCGTTGTGTTCCAGGCACTGTTCTAGAGTCTTGGAAACTACGATGAACAAAACAGACGAAAATCTCTAACCACATGAACATTCATTGTGGGATGAAGAAATCAACCATAAATAACAGGCATAACAATAAGAAATTAAGTAGTATGTAAGTAACGGGGAAGTGCTGTGGAATCTAGTAGAGTGGGATGAAGAGGACTTAGGAATTCAGGGTCGGGTGGTGCCTTGAAATTTTAAATCGACTTGTCAAGATGGAGCCCATCAAGAAGGTGACATTGGAGCAAAGACTTGAACGAGGTGAAGAACAGTCCGGTGAGTAGTTGGAGGAAGGGCATTCCAGGCAGAAGGAACGGCAGGTGCAAAGGCCCAAAGGCAAGAATAGTCCTGTTCAAGGAACAACAGGAAGTCCAGTGTGGCAGTGCGGAGTGAGCAAGGGTAATAAAAGCAAGAGACCCATTCAGAAAGGCAATGGGGAGGGGAAGACTGGGTTGGGCTTTTACTCTGAGATAAATAGACAATTACTGAAGATGTGACCTAATTTAATGTATTGATCATTTATGTATTTATGATTGATTTATTTGAGTCATGGTCTCACTCTGTAGCCCAGGCTGGAGGGCAGTGGCTCATTCATAGCGCACTATAGCCTTGACACCCCCCCCCCGCCCCCGGCTCAAGTGATCCTCCCACCTCAGCCTCTTGAACAGTTGGAACTATAGGTGTGTGCCACCATGTCCAGCTAATATTTTTTAGATTTTTTTTAGAGATGGGCTCTTGCTATGTTGCCCAGGCTGGCCCTGAACTCCCGGCCTCAAGGAATCCTCCTACCTGAGTCTCCCAAATAGCCTGGATTACAAGAGTAAGCCATCGTGCCATGCCTAATTTGACAGATTTTAAAAGGAATGCTCTAGTCATTACGTCAAGACCACACTAAGGAAAGAGGGTCGAAGCAAGGAGACTAATTAGGAGCCATTTCAGTAGCAGCGGAGGCAGAGAAAAGGGTTTAGATTCCAGGTATATTTGAAGTAGAGCCATCAAAATTTCTTATAGGATTGGAGAAAGGTGAGTTGAAGATGACGCCAAGGTTTTGTCCTGAACACTGGTGGGATGTAGTTACCATTAGCTTGATAGAGTGGACTGCAGACAAAGAGCTTTGCTGAGAATGATCACGTGCTACTGATTTTTCACTCCTGGGCCACTGTTCCATGTATGGCATCTCCAGTGCTAAGCATGGTGCCTAACTCTTAGCAGGCAGAAAAACATCTCTTGAGACACCAAAGCAGGAGGATTGCTTAAACCTAGAGTTCAAGACCAGCCTGGGCAACCTAGCAAGACCCCATTTCTACAAAGGAATTTTTAAAAAAATAGCCAGTCATGGTGGCACATTCCTGTAGTCCTAGCTATTTGGGGGACTGAGGTGGGAGGACTGCTTGAGCCTGGAAGTTGGAGGTTGCAGTGAGCTATGATCACACCATTGCACTCCAGCCTGGGTGACAGAATGAGAGAACAGACACCCTTTCTCAATCAATCAATCAATGAGAAAAGAAAATACCTGTTGAACAGACAAACGAGTGAGTGAATGATTAAATACAATTCCCACAGGGCAAGCAACCTGAGATTTTGTTGTTTTCTTGGGTTCTATTCAGGGAGCACAGATTTCCCAGACGTATCAGAACGTTTTTTATTTGATTTTATCCCCAATCCAGGGCTTTTCAGGCTGGCATGGAGATAAAGTACTGATCCTGTTCTCAAAGACACACAGCTCAACTCTCCTGTTTCTCCCAGCTACTAATATCAATCTCCATCCCTCAATCCAAGAATAAGAAAATCTGTCTATTTCCAGGCATAAGAAAAATCACCTAGGTATGTATATTCCTCCAAATTAAGAAATTTTATGCTTGGGTTTTAGCTCTTGAAACTCCAGAATTAAGAATTATACTTTCGTACTCTGAGTTCATACCAACTTAACCAAATATTGCAGGATAATATTTGGATGTATGGATCGGCAGCATACGACTGACCTAATGAAGGGAAAGGCAAGAAATTCAAGGAAACAATAGCAATGTAAAACACACCAGGTGGCCAGGTGCAGTGGCTCATACCATATAATCCCAGCATTTTGGGAGGCCAAGGCAGGAGGGTCACTTTAGCCCAGGAGTTCAAGATCAGCTTGGGCAATGTAGGAAGACTCCATCTCTACAAAACATAAAAATATATTAGCCAAGTGTGGTGGCACATTACCTGTGGTCCCAGCTACTCAGGAGGCTGACGTGGGAGGATCACTTAAGCCCAGGAGGTTGAGGCTGCAGTTAGCTGTGATCATGTCATTGCACTCCAACCTGGGCAACAGATCTCAAAAAATCATAATATAATAAAACATACCAATTAATATATCAAAACATTGTGCCACTTCTTTTTTGATCACTTAAGATGAGATGGATTTGCCCCTGGTATAGGCTATGTCTACACAATCATCTTAAAATTGCTACCAGCCTGCCCATTGATCTAGAGTAAATTCCTCTGATGATATTTAAGTAAAACAGATTCTGTCCATGAAATTATGCAAAATGTAACAATGTTGATGCTGGTCATACTGTGCAAGCTAATAATTAGACATTGTCTATGTCATTTTCGGAACTTTCAGAGAGAACATTAAACCCTCAGACATTTGTTAATGATAGAACATTTCCAGGGAAAATGGCTGGCAGGAGAATTGAGGAGCAAGGATCAACAAAACACAGTGATGAGAAGGAAACGCAAAAGAAGTTTTTAAGGAAACAGCAAAGAAATGGATCCTTCAGCCATGGGAACGGAAATTCTGTCTTTAAATTTCTGCCATTGTTTATATTCTGATTAATTCTTTTTTATAGGTTAATCTCCATCTATTGGTTTTGAAAGTGCCAACTCCCTGTTAGCTCATAAAAGAACAATAGATTCTTTAACTTATCAGAGAGTTCCTAAAACCCTTGAAAATCCCCAAATTCAAAAACAATGTATCACTTTCCCTACACAATGCAACTGCATAGAACTAAAAACTGATATGTAAATGATTTAACTCTCACTCGATGATCAGTTTCTGTCCTACCTGAAATGCTTACTAAATTCATTTTACAAATTCTGCTTTTTGAATTTTCATAAAGAACATATGTCTGGCTTGATATCATAGATTCTAGTCACCCATAAATTTAAACAAAACACTAAACAAAAAGGTCTATTTTCTGGCTAAGAACTAATACTTCCTTTTCAGTCTCCTCCTTTACTTCATCAGCTCTTGAAGCTCTTGTCAGTTCCGGCAACATTTGCTGGCAGTATAAAAAATTTTCAAGCGCACACAAGGTCATAAATTGAACCCCGGTCCACTTTCGAATGCATACATCCTATTTTGCACATTGGCTTCTGGCTACATTAGTCTCTAAGGGATTCAGTCTTGTTCATAGCATCTAGGATTCAAATTAATCTCAGCAAAAATTGGCCAGGTGCAGCGGTTCATGCCTGTAATCCCAGCACTTTGGGAGGTCGAGTCAGGTGGATCCCTTAAGGTCAAGAGTTCAAGATAAGCCCAGCCAACATGGTGAAATCTTGTTTCTACTAAAAATACAAAAATTAACCACGCATGGTGGTGGATGCCTGTGATCCCAGCTACTCAGGAGGCTGAAGCATGAGAATCACTTGAACCCCTGAGGCAGAGGTTGCAGTGAGTCAATATTGAGCTACTGCACTTCATTGTGCATGACACAGACTCTGTCTCAAGACAAAAAAAAAATCTTAGAAAAAAATTTAAAATTATTTTATGTCCTGAACTTCCAGATCACCTTCAAAGAGAGGCAATCACAAACATTAAATTCATAAAGGCAAAGGTTCTACTGTACTTTCTTTTGAAAACAGCAATTCATTTGAAGTAAGCTTACATGAAATCATAGTAGCACAGGCTACATTTGAAGAGCTCTTTCTCGCATTCAACAAATACTGAAAATAATATCATAGATATTATGAATCGTGAAGAGATGATTCTCCTATGGCTTCAACCCCCAAAAGGGTATATTGTCTGCCCTTGAATTTAATTATTCATTCAACAAATGTTTATTGAGCAACCACTACCCGTTAACCATTTTCATTGGTATTAACCATAAAGCAGAGAACACGATAGGCAATGCCCCCGCTCGACCGCAGGAAGACTGACAGCAAACAAACAAAACAGTAGGTGGTGGTAAGTGCTGCAGGAAAAGAGGGGCAGGGATACTGTCATCAAGGATGGCCTACGAGTACCATGTAAGCTCTGTGCTTTTCATAGATAGCCTTTCTCTTGCTGAGGTACATTTCCTCCAGATCTAATTTGTTGGATGTCCTCATCATAAAAAAATGTTAAAATTTTTCAAATGTTTTTCTGAATTTATTGAGATAATCATATGATTTGTATTCTCCATTCTGTTAATGTGGTATATATCACATTCATTGATTTGCAAATACTGAACCGTTCTTGCATCCCAGGGATAAATTCCAATTGGTCATGACACATGATCTTTTTAATGTGCTGTTCAATTTGGTTTACTGCTATTTGTTGTTGTTGTTGTTGAGGTTTTTTGCATCTATGTTCATCAGGGACATTGGCCCTTAATCTTCTTGCGGTGTCCTAGTCTGGTCTTGGTGTGGGGTTACCAGCATACATATAAACATGTACACCACCAGAAATAAACCCATGCATACATAAAAGTGTTCCCTCCTCTTCAAGTTTCTGGAAGAGTCGGAGATAATTGGTATTCATTCTTTAAATGTAAGATTTTATTCATGAAATGATCTGGTCCTGAACTTTTCTTCATTGGGAAGTTTTTTAACTATTGACTTAATCTCTTTATTCATTATTGGTTTGTTCAGATTTTCTGTTTTCTCATGATTTGGTTTCTCAGGTTTCTAGAAATCTTTCATTTCTTCTTAGGTTTTTTTTTTTTTTCCTGTGTCAGGATCTCACTCTTTTCTATTTTCTTTCTCATCTCCATTTCATTTATTTCCACTCTGATCTTCAGTATTTCCTTTTTCTGCCAACTTTGAGCTTAGTCTGTTCTTCCTGTTACTAGTTTCTTAAGATGTGAATTTGGACGTCAAAACTACCTAAAGCTATCTGTGGATTTCATGCCATCCCTATGAAAATTCCAACTGCTTTTTTCACAAATACAGATAACAATTCTAAAATTTCGGACCACAAAAGACACCAAATAGCCAAAGCAATTTTGAGAAGAACAAAACTGAAGGCATCATGCTCCCCGATTTCAAATTATATTACAAAGCTTTAGTAATCAAAACAATATAATAGTGATGTGAACGCAGACATATAGGCCGGGCACAGTGGCTCACGCCTGTAATCCCAGCACTTTGGGAGGCCGAGGCGGGTGGATCACGAGGTCAAGAGATGAAGACTATCCTGGTTAACATGGTGAAACCCTGTCTCTACTAAAAAAAATACAAAAAATTAGCTGGGCATGGTGGCGCGCACCTGTAATCCCAGCTGCTCGGGAGGCTGAGGCAGGAGAATTGCCTGAACCCAGGAGCGGAGGTTGCGGTGAGCCGAGATCACGCCATTGCACTCCAGCCTGGGCAACAAGAGTGAAACTCCGTCTCAAAAAAAAAGACATATATTCCAATGGAAGACTATAAAAGCACAGAAATAAACCCACACATACATGGTCAACTAATATTTGACAAGGGTGCCAAGAATATAAAACAGCGAAAGAAAAGCCTCTTCAATAAATGGTATTGGGACAACTGGATATCCACGTGCAGAAGAATGAAATTAGACCTGGATCTCACACCTTAAACAAAAATTAACTCAAAATGCATGAAATCCTTAAGTGTAAGTCCTGAAACTGTAAAAATAGTTGAAGAAAATGTAAGAGAGAGAAGCTCCATGTCCTTGGTTTGGGCAATGATTTTTTGGATGTGTCCCCCTAACACACAAGCAACCAAAGTAAAACAGACCAGTGGGATTACATCAAACTGAAAAGCTTCTACGCAGCAAAGGAAACCATCATCAAGGCGACGAGATAACCAACGGAATGAGAAAAAATATCTGCAAATGATACGTCTAATAAGGGGCTAATATCCAAATTAAATAAGAAACTCAAAAACTCAGTAACAAGAAAACAAATGGACAGAACTGACCAGATGTATCTCAAAAGAAGAAAAACAAATGGCCAATAAGTACAAAAAAATTATCAACAGTGCCAAGCATCAAAGAAAGGCAACTCAAAACTGCAATGAATATCACGTCGCACCTGTTAGAATGGCTATGATCACAAAGATGAAAGATAAGGTGTGGAGGAACGGGAACCCTTGTACATTGCCGTATGATCCAGCCATCCTGCCACAGAGCATGTAGCCAAAGGAAATGACATCAATATCTCACAGAGATATCTGCACTCCCACAATCATTTCAGTATTTTCAATAGCCAAAATATGCAAACAGCCTAACCATCAGCAGATGAATGGATAAAGAAAATGTTTAGGTCAGGTGTGGTGGCTCACACCTGTAATCCTAGCACTTTGGGAGGCTGAAGTGGGAGAAATACTTGAGCTGAGGATTTTGAGACCAGCCCAGGGAAACACAGTGAAACCCCTTCTCTACCAAAAAAAATCAAAAAGAAAAGAAAAAAAAAAATTAGCCAGGCATGATGGTGCACACCTGTAGTCCTAACAACTCGGAAGACTGAGTTTGGAGGATTGCTTGAGTCTGAGAGGTTAAGGCTATGGTGAATCATGATCACACCACTGCACTCCAGCCTGGACAACGAAGCAACACTCTATCTCAAAAAATAAAGAAAAGAAAATGTCATATATATATATATATATATGAATATATATATTATGTAATATATATAAGGAATATAATTCACCCTTATAAAAGAAAGTCCTCCATTTGTAACAAAATAGATGAATCTGGAGAACGTTATGCTAAGTGACACAAGCCAGGCACAGAAAGATAAATACTATATTATCCTATTTATATGTGGACTTTTTCTTTCTTTCTTTCTTTCTTTTTTTTTTTTTGGAGACAGAGTTTCCCTCTGTCACCCAGACTGGTGTGCGATGGTGCAATCTCAGCTCACTGCAACCTCCACCTTCTGGGCTCAAGTGATCTCCTGTCTTGGCCTCCCAAATAGCTGGGGCTACAGTCATATACCACCATGCCCAGTTAATTTTTGTATTTTTAGTAGAGATGGGGTTTCACCAGGTTGATCAGGCTAGTCTCGAACTCCTGACCTCAGGTGATCCACCCACCTCGGCCTCAAAAAGTACTATTATTACAGACATGAGCCACTGCCTATGGCCTATATGTGGACTCTTATATGTCAAACACAGAGAAACAGTAGAGCAGCAGTTATCAGGGTGTGGTGGAGGAGGCAGGCAAAGGTGTGAGTCAAAGGGTATAAATAAGTCTAGAGTACGAATGTGCAACAGAAGGACCACAGCTAATAATACCATATTATGTATTGAAAACCTACTAAGAAAACAGATGTCCAAAGGACTATAAATCGTTCTACTATAAGGACACATGTACACGAATGTTCATTGCAGCACTGTTTACAATAGCAAAGACATGGAATCAACCCAAATGCCCATTGATGATAGACTGGATTGGGAAAATGTGGCACATATACACCATGGAATATTATGCAGCAATCAGAAATGATGAGTTCGTGTCG